CTGTGGCAGAGAGTGTAGTGTCCACCCCACTGCTAGCTGATGGCTTTCACCAGTTTATAATTCAAATTCTGACTAATAAAAGTCTTCCTGCCCCACATCTTCCCTTGGGGACAAAACTTTTCATGCCAGGGCACCTGGTGGGCTTCAGGTAGATGATCACTTGCAGTTCAAACTGCTTCCCTGGGTGCCATGTGTCTATCCAGGGAGGCCCCTGCACAGGGGCTATGGCTGGGCCTGGAGGTATGATGGGTAACATGGCTAATATGTAGAGTTTAGGCAATTTACCAGAAATGGGAGTACGGCCACTTCTCAGTGGCTACACAGGTGCAGTGGCAAGTTCCTGATTTTCCACATAATGTCTTCAGGATTGGTATCCGTAGGCCCACAAAGATGACCGTGTGCTTATTATTAAACCGTGAAGAGGAAAATGAGCTATAAAACCTCTCATCACCATTTATTTTGTATGTGAAGAGAGGTAATCATGAATGGAACTAAGAAAATTGGCAGCGAGTAACTTCCTCTAAAGATGACCCTGTCCCAAGCCCATCATTTTTATCTTACCCCAAATGTCACCTCGTCATATAGCCCCTCCTTACCCTCTCTTTCCCATGACTGTGTTCAAGTCTTCACTAACCTTGCCACTATCCAAGTAATTTATTCAGTGGTGTAGAGTTTCTCTTTCCCTTGCTGCCCCTTATCCACCAGAATGCAGGCTCCATGAGTTTAGTGACCACTGATCCGCCCTGCACTCTCAGCCCTGAGATCAGCGCCTGGCACATAATAAGAGCTCTGTATCAATGGTGGGGGTGCATTAAGGCCTGTCATCCTGTGGGACACATCTGACTCTCTCTGCCGCGCGCAAGTGGCTTCCCATCATGGATGAAGAAAACTGGTGTTCTTTACATCAATTACCCAAGCTCGATGACCTGCTCCAGGAACAACAGCATTTCCCAAGCCCCTTTTCTTCCTCCAGAATGCTCCTTTGGAAACGTATAATTTACGGAGAAAGAAATGAGCATGCTACATCCATTGGTCATTATGCTACAATAACACTGAAATTTCTGTGCGTTCTAAGCAGACGCTGTATGCAAAGTCCCCATCCTGGGCAGTGTAATCAATAACTGCCTAACAGGAAGGATGCTGGCAGGAGCAGAGATAACTCTGCCCGCACAAACCACCTTGAGCATATGTCGGGAAGCTGTAGTCAGGGCCTCTCACGTAAAGTCTTCGAAATTCAATGAAAAAGCTGCAAGTGCATGTAATTAAAAGTGAGCATCACCACGCAAAGTAGATAAAGTTAATTACACATTTGCAGGGACATTTTTTTTGTGCAGTAAGTGTGGTAGTCATCACGATCGGCAGCCCTCAGGGCCAGTACAGGGAGCTGACTACGCTTTGCTCAGAATAAAGGAATCCAGGGCCCTAAAACAGAGCATCCTTTTCAGAGCCAGATAATTTAACATAAAGGGAAAGAACAAAGGCTGAAAAGGAGGAGGAGGGCCCTGCTTGATCGGATCTCTAAATAAAACCAGGTTCTAATAGAAAAGGGCTTGCAACACTGATCATAAATGAAGACAGCGTGATTTTAAAATAAGCCCTAGGACTAGAGCAAATAAAAAAAGACATCCGTGCACTTAGCTTACCATATTCTGTTTCCATTATACGTTTTAATTTCCATGGGGCAGGATTCTACCAAGAGATACATATTTATTTTCCCTCTGTGAGACCACAAAAACCCCAGAATTCAAGCTTCTAGAAGGGGCTTTGTACAACTAGTTAATCCAGTCAAATTGAGTTAATGGCCACAAAGAGATGGACGGAATGGGTGATTTACTGTTCAATAATGAGTTGTCAATATGGGGCGAGGAGCCGCTTTGATCAACCAGGCAACCAAATCACAGCAACAGTTCAGGGCTCCATTGATTTCTCAGCAATTAATGGTAATGATGCTAAAAAGAAAAGAAAAAGACAGATCTGACCGGAAATTGGTCTTCTCCGTGTGGAGTGAAAGGCCAACAGCAGGGCTTTGTGCCTGGCCTCGAGGCCATTTGCACCTAAAATACGGAAGAGTCACAGAATTCCCTGTAATTTAGATCCGCTGGCAATTGCAACCTTAATTTGATTATGACTCTATACTAGGACGAATTGGAAGCCAGAATATATTAATACCAGTCACGTATAATTTAAACTGCACGACTATTTACACAGCTTTTCCTTTAAACATGAGTTTTTGATCACATATCCAATTGTTGTCACACATCTGAAAAGATACATTTAATTATTTAAACATTGTAAACTTTTATGTTGAAAAAAACATAAAAATGTAGAAAAATAAACCAGGGGGGAAATTGCAACACTTAACAAAGTTAGCATCCTGAAAATATGAAGAATGCTTACAAATTAATGGGGAAAGATTCCATAGAGAATTGACCAAGCCAAATGGGAATTGTGTAAAAGATGAAAATATATCTGGTTAGTCTAAATTTGAGAAAAAAAAAAATCAACCTCACTGATAATAAAAGAAGTACAAAGGAAATTGACACTGACATCGTTATTATAGCAAAGCTTAAGATGGCTGATAGAGGCATGTTGGGAGACTGGTCTGATGAGGTTCAGGACACGCAACTCCAAAATACGTCACCTTGTCATTTGAGGAAACAGTAGAAGCAGGAAGGTCACTCTCACCTTCTTGCCCTTCTCCCCTGAAGCTGGTCACAAAAGAATTCTCTGACCTTCCTTTAAAGTAGATCATAAGAGCGTCATTCCAGAGATACCCTCTAGGACTCAAAGGAAAGAAATGTTCTTACATCTGAAGACACAGGGGCACAGAGAAGAATCTGAAAAAACAGGCCTTGCTAAGTTTCCCCAGCTTAATTACCATTAGATCACATCCCCTTTGGATAATTGTATTTCTACACAACTGTCCATGCTTCACCAAATTTAGCTTAAAAATACCCAGGTTTAGGCCAGGCATGGTGGCACACACCTGTAATCCCAGCGGTTTGGGAGCCTGAGGCAGGAGACTGCTTGAGGCCAGGAGTTTGAGAATACCCTGGGCAACATAGCAAGACCCCTTCTCTACAAAAAATTAAAAAATTAGTCAGGCATGGTAGCTCGTGCCTGTAGTCCCAGCTACTCAGGAGGCTGAGATGGGAGGATGGGTTGAGCCCAGGAGTTTGAGGTTGCTGTGGCTATGATCCAGCCACTGCTCCCCAGTCTGGGTGACAGAGAGGGACCCTGTCTCAAAGAGACAAACAAAAAACCACGCAGGTTTCCCCATTTCTTTAGGTCTTTATTTCCAAAGGCTCTTGTGTCACGTAAAACTTATATTAAATGCATTCGTATGCTTTTTTTCTGTTAATCTTATAGGTGCCTCAGCCTTACAATGAGTGAGGAAAAGATATTACTTTTTCTCCCCTACAGGCCCTCTGTTCAATATTGGTGGGAATGTAAATTGATATATCATTTATGGAAAAATAATTCATGTAATCCTTACAGAATATATCAAAATGTGAAATGTTCATACCCTCTTACTCAGCAACTGCACTTCTAGGGATTTAGTTGATGAAACTGTTACACAAGTGTGAAAATATGCATGCACCCAGATAACTGACACTGTGATATTGAGAGTGAAAAAATAAAAATGACCCAAATTAGTATCAGTTAAGGATTAATGGGGGGACAGTTGGTACATAAATATAATGGAATCCTGTATGGTCAGTCCATACTTATTGGCATGGCAAGATATCCACAACACATGGCAGAAAGAACAAAACGTAATTTAAAAACTACAAGTGTAGAATGATCCTATTAATACATCTAGGTGAGTTTTAATGAAGCTGTACTTCTCTAGAACGTAAGTTCTAAAGACAAGGGCTTTGTACTCTTCACTGCTGGTTCCCTAGTGGGTAGAACAATGCCTGGAACTTTGTAATCACGCCATCATGTTTGTTGAATGAATAAATAAAAGATGTTTAGAAAGTTTTTCACTAAAGGTTTAACAGTGGTAGAGTGCTAGGAATTTTTTCTTTGCCATTTATATTTTTTTCTATTATTTGAATTGTCTTCAAAATGCTTGTTTCCTTTTGACAAAAACAAATGCTATTTTTAAAATGTGTGCTAATGCCTACTGCTTGTGAGAATGGGGCAGTTTCCAACTGTTTCAGTGGCTATACAAAGGGGTTCAACTCTTAGAAAGCCATTTGACATTAAGTATACCCAAATCACAAAATCCTTCCTTCTTTGTCTATTATCCCTTCCTGGGAATTTATGCTAAGGAAAAAAATGCAACATACGAAATGATCTATGCATCCAAAGGTCTTTCTCTAGTTTTTGTATTAGGAGAATAAAAATTTTGGCCAACCAAAAGACACCTCTAACGGAGGGAAGGGTAAAAGTAAATTACGGTAAATCCATTATATGGAATTTTATGTGAACATTACCAATTGTGAAGACTCTGGCAACATGAACAAAAGATGGCTGAAAATGAAGGCATGTAATGATTTAATTTATGAAGAAACAAAATGATGATGCTGTTGTATAAAAACTGTGGAATTCTGGATGCCATTTTTTCTTCTTAGAATTGTGCAAAGAATGTGGGCTATAGAGAGGAGTTTTTATTTAGGCCTTGCTACATAGCTTTTACATGACCTTGTTTGATTATGCTCCCTAACCTCTTTGTGCCTCAATTTTTCTTATCTACAAAATGGGCTAAGAGTACTACCTCCTAGCGTTGAAAGGATTAAAATGAGATGAGTAAGAGTAAGGGTTCCACAAATCGTGGTGGTTGTTTGTATTGCGACTGTTATATTTTCAAATTTTTCCAAAAAATTTCCAGCCCCTATCAATTACAAACGGAATGAAAAGTAAAATAGCTAAAAAGGGAGGGAGGAAGAGATTCAAAAAATAGAACTTTGGCATTGGGCCGCCCCCCTCCTCTGCCCCCGGGGACTCCGTGGGGCCTTGAGCGAGGAAAGGCCGCCGGCGACCACACGGGGGCGTTGGCGCTCAGGCCGGGCGAGGCTTTCCCGGTGGCGTCCAGCAGGGGACGCTGCCGGAGGCGGCGGTGGCAGGAGCGGAAGCCGGGCCGGAGGCGGCCGGGCGCACTCGCTGACTCCTCCCGCTTCCGCTGCCGCCGCGGGTCCGAGCCGAGTTACCGTCTGCCGTCAGCCGCTGTCGCCGCCGCCGCGATGCCGCTGGAGAACTTGGAAGAAGAAGGCCTGCCCAAGAACCCCGACCTGCGCATCGCGCAGCTGCGCTTCCTGCTGAGCCTGCCCGAGCACCGCGGGGACGCCGCCGTGCGCGACGAGCTGATGGCCGCCGTCCGAGACAACAGTGAGGCCCGCGCGAGCGCCGAGTCAGCGGCCTAGGCTTGCGCTGGCCCGCGCTCCGGAGCCCGCGGGAATGTTCCCCGGTGGGGCCCCGGCCTCCGAGGCGTCCCTCTGACGGGGTCCCCGAGACCAGGCCTGGCTTCTCTGGCCCTTCGGGCCTTCCTTTTGTTGGGGATGCCCTAGGGGAACCCGCCTTACTCTCAGAAGGGTCTGCGTCTGTGTGGGTCCTTCCCCTTTGAGGGCAGCTTTGGGAGAAATTCTGAGGTGTTTAGCGCAGTGCTAGACCCAGAGCAAAGGCTCAGTGACTTGCTGCTGTTCAAGGCTGCTCCCGGGCGAGATGTGTTCCTTGTGGGGCAGGAAGCTTTCCGTGTGAAGGGGAACTTGGGTTCAGTTCTTTTTGTCCTTCCCAGCAGTGAGTGGCACTTAGTGGTGTATGTTGAACATACGTATCTGAGCATGGACAGGCTTGCCTGTTCCCTTGTTTGAACACTCCTTTGGAACAGAATCCGGTGGGAGTAAACCGAGTGTTGCCCGCCTCCAGCCCTAGGAGGTTGGCAGTGCCGGGGTCCCTCATGCAGAGACCTCCCACCAGCAGATGTCCGCGTTTTGCCGAGCGTTTGTTAAGCTCTGTTCCATTCCTTCCTAGTAGTGGGTAGGGGACTGGTATATGACCTGTGTGTGGGTAAGAGGTGGGCAGACGCTGACTTTAGGATGCACGTGGCTCCCACTCATACATCCCTTTTTTGGCTTTCAGACATGGCTCCTTATTATGAAGCCTTGTGCAAATCCCTCGACTGGCAGATAGACATGGACCTGCTCAATAAAATGAAGAAGGCAAATGAAGAAGAGTTGAAACGTTTGGATGAGGAGCTGGAAGATGCAGAGAAGAATCTGGGAGAGAGCGAAATTCGAGATGCAATGATGGCAAAAGCCGAGTACCTCTGCAGGATAGGTGACAAGGTGAGTGCATATGGCTTCCCCTCTCTGTAGTTAGTATAATCTAAAATTGAGAACCATTCCAGATTAATAATATCTCATTTTAAAAATTAAATTCCTTTTTTAAAAAGTACACAGGTAATCATGCTTACCTGAACTAGTGAATCAATGTCAAGATGAATAAAGAAAAAATAGTCTTCTTGCAATACCCTACCATCTGCCCCCAAGCAAGAGCCCAGTCTGTGTTCGTCTGCATCTCTCTCCATGCCAATAAAAACACAGGTGCACATGCAGAGATTTTTGTTTGTTTACAGCTTTTACAAAATTGGGATCGTTTTTAGTGGTTTCCTTTTCTCATTTGGTTGGGAACCATCGGTTCTGGTGCCTTTTAAAAATTTGCACTTAGTAGTATTTTCCTTGTAAGAATTGAGAACATGATAATAAATGCTGAAGTTCTGTTTGATCTTTCTTTACTCCCTACCTGCTCAGAGGTAACCTTTTTATTAATAGTTCTTTTATTGTGCATTTACATGCCTGTATATATACCAGTAAAAAATAGGTAGTATTTTTAAAAAGTTTTTACATACGTGGGATCATAGTGTACTCATGTAGTTCTGTTTACTTTCATTCAGCATTGTATCTGAGAGGTATTTCTGTGTTAATGTCCATAAACCTTGCTCGTTCTGGTTAACTGCTGCTTAATATTCCCTTGTAGAGCGATGCCATAGTTTGCCTGTTCAGCTATTGATGAACACGTATGTTGTTTTTAGCTGTTTTTGCTTTAACAAACAGCTGCTGTAAAAACATGCTTATGTATGTTATCTTGTGTGTACATATGCTAGTGTTTCTCTAGGATATAGTCTATGAAATGAAATTGCTGGAACAATGAACAATTTTTATTTTAATGTGTGGCCAGTTCCATATAACAGCTGGCTTATGTATACTCCACTGTTAGTGTTCTAGAGGAGGACTCACCAGTACTGGGTATTTACATTTAATTTAGTAGTTGTGTAATAATGGTTAAGAGGATGGGCTTTGAATATTCTTAATTTTAAGCCATACACACAGAATTATTTAGATGTGGGGTGACATGATGTCATTATAAAAAATGAAATAGTGTGTACTCTTGGATCAGATTGCCTGGATTCTATTTCCAGTTTCAGTTATATGATTTACTAAACCCTCAGTTTCCTCATCTGTAAAATAGGGATAATGACAGTTTCGACTTAATTTGGATTAAAGATAGGGGCAAAGAGCTTAGACTGGTACCTGGCACAAAGTAAGTGCTTAAATGTTATTACGTAATTTAAATTTAAAACAGATTTTTTTTCTTTTCTCTGGTTATAAATTTAAGACTTGGTCATTGTAAAAATTTCAAAAATACAGAAAAGTTTAAAAATAGTCAATAGCTTGCGTTTACTTTTAGGTTGTGTGTGTTTGTGTTTTTGGTTTTAAAGATTAATGTATTATGTGTTAATGAGAAACTTCAAACTTTTCATTCAGGACTTAGAAAATTTCAATAAGGACATGCTTGAGTCATTCGGGATTGTAAACTGGTCATGTTCTAATACCGTATTCCCTCTATGTTTGTTAAGTAGTATTCTTCCAAAAAGAACAGCTTTCTTTTTTTTCTCCTATTTACCCTCTTTTATTTTTTATATTTTATTTGATTTACTATTATTAACTACTTAATGGGTTTTTATTATATTATTCATTATTCACCGTGTTACTACTGACAATAGTCTTTATTCTTTGTGGTGGTCACTTTGCTGCATGTTTGTTAGTGCAGACTCTTTCAAGAGAATTTCTTTGTCTTTTTGATCTATCTCATTGGTCTTATTTTATGATAAAACAAGATATCACAAGCTCAAAATTAGGATCGTTTTTCAGTAGTTTACTTTTCACTCTTCAAACCTGGAATCATCCATTTCTCGTAGGATCCCTGGGTCCCTTTAGTGGGGCATAATATTTTGAAACCAAGATCTGAGTGCTAGGTGCACTCATTGCTGTCTTGCCAGTCCCTTTTATAAGTTTAGGAAGCATAACTCATAATTACATAAAACAAACCAGGCAGACACATAGTGAAAAGTACCAAGTATAAACAAATGATTTTATTCATGTTCTTGTCTTTAAAGCAATAGAAACATTTTATTCCACAATGCTTTGAAATAAAATTGTGTATTTACAAATTGAGTTATATTCTAATAGTAACTAAGATTGCTAAAACCCTTTAAGTGATAAGACAGATAATTTACAGTAAAGTTATTTTGATGTAGTATATTATAATTATTAAAGGAGAAAACATGGAATACATGGAACAAAGGAGAGAATACTTAAAAATTGTGAATAAATTATGAATGTTTTTCTTAGTATTTTTTAGAATATAAGAATAAGTTAGGCATTTCTTATTTTTATTTATTTATTTTTTTTACAGTTGACCCTTGAACATTGCAGGGGTTAGGGATACTGACCTCCCATGTGGTTGAAAATCCACATATAACTTTGGATTCTCCAAAAACTTTACTAATAGCTTATTGTTGACCAGAAGCCTTACCGCTAAGTAGTTAACACATATTTTGTGTATGTATCATATACTGTATTGTTACAACAAAGTAAGCTAGAGAAAAGAAAATGTTATTAAGAAAATCACGAGGAAGAGAAAATATATTTACTACTCATTAAGTGGAAGCAGATCATCATAAAGGTCATCATCCTTGTCGTCGTCACATTGAGTAGGCTGAGGGGTTAGTTTTGCTGTCTCGGGTGGCAGAAGCAGAAGAAAATCCATGTGTAAGTGGATGCGTGCAGTTCAAACCTGTGTTTGAGGGTCAACTGTACTTTATGTAAGTATAAAATAGTATAATAAACCCATGTGTATTTCTAACCCAGCTTCAACAATTATCAGTTAAGGTCCATTTTGTTTTATCTCTATTCCTACCCGTCCCCCACTCCCTTTAAAGAAATTCCAGACAGGTGATAGTTTTGAAAACTTACAACCTTTTCTTACCTGTTGCTTTGGCTTTCTTGACAGGAGGGAGCTCTGACAGCCTTTCGCAAGACATACGATAAAACCGTGGCCCTGGGTCACCGACTGGATATTGTATTCTATCTCCTTAGGATTGGCTTATTTTATATGGATAATGATCTCATCACACGAAACACAGAAAAAGCCAAAAGGTACTTTTTAAAAGTGGGGATATATTCCCTCTAAATTATGATGCTCTGTAAATGAGAAAGTGATAAGAAATTTGCCATTTTGCTTACAACTAGTAAATTTGGTCAAATGATAATGTACTTATTTTAGTAAAATATTTTCTTTAGGTTCAAGTTGTTAAAAGCTGTTTTCTCTTTGAAAATAACACAAAACTTTTAAAAAGTGGCATTGTCTGCTTCCAGATTATGATCTTACTGTTCTTATTTAATAGCTTAATAGAAGAAGGAGGAGACTGGGACAGAAGAAACCGCCTAAAAGTATATCAGGGTCTTTATTGTGTGGCTATTCGTGATTTCAAACAGGCAGCTGAACTCTTTCTTGACACCGTTTCAACATTTACATCCTACGAACTCATGGATTATAAAACGTTTGTGACTTACACTGTTTATGTCAGCATGATTGCCTTAGAAAGACCAGATCTCAGGGAAAAGGTAATGGCTGAACTTTTAATGCTCATATTTAAAGACTGTCCCATGCTTTTCTAATTTAAATACACAAAGATCATTAAAAAGGTATTTTTTTTTTTTTTTTTTTGGTAATACCTAGGTCATTAAAGGAGCAGAGATTCTTGAAGTATTGCACAGTCTTCCATCAGTTCGGCAGTATCTGTTTTCACTCTATGAATGTCGTTACTCAGCTTTCTTCCAATCATTAGGTAAGGATAGAGTTGCTCATTTTGATTATCTGTCTTCATCTTACTCCTGATCCTGTGTGCAAATAGCCTAAGATGATTTTTCACATATCTAAGAAATGGAGTGTGTGGGTAGCTGCAGGTCTTTGATCAGTATGGCTAATTGGCCCAGTTTTATTTAGAATGGGGGTCAGCAAACTGTGGGTTGTTTATATGGCTCAGGAGTAAGAATGATTTTTACATTGGCAAAGTGTTGTTTTAAAACAAAGAAGCATATGTGACAGAGAGCTATGTGGCTCGCAAAGCCTAAAAATATTTTCTCTCTGGCCCTTTGCTGAGGATTTTGCCAGACCGCCGGTTTGCAGTTTTTTAAGGGGATATAAGGCAGAAGTGAGCAAATGGTTGTAAGTATTGATTGTCACGGGGAAAGATGTGAGGGAATTCTGCATCTGATTTTGGGTTGAGATAAATTGAGCCTTGAATTCAACAATGGGTTATTCTTTATGCCTGCAGTGCCTAACCCCTGGGCTGCAGAGCTCCCCACTACCACCCCGGCCCGTGGGAAAATCGTCTTACATAAAACTCAGGAAAGCAGGGGATGGGGGGGCGCAGCAAGAGGTGAGCATCACCACCTGAGTCCCCCCCTGCAGTCCATGGAAAAATCGTCTTCCATGAAACTGGTCCCTGGTGCCAAAAAGGTTGGAGACTGCTGCTTTATGCAATAGCTAAATCTTTGTGGTGATTTGCAAGTCATTTTTAAGGGCTATAGATTGATAAAATAATCCACTGAAAATACTTGTGTTCCTCCAAAGCTAGTTTATAGTGATCCTGCTCTACATAATTTACTTTTTTCCCATCTTGTCCCATTCCTTTCTGGCCATTTGGTTTCCTCCTAATGACCACAAATTATTAAGATGGTAAAAGAATTAGCTTGCCCAGGGGCCCTTCGCAAATGATTTTCCAAAAACTTAGAGAACTTGGCATTGATTAAATAATTCAATCTCTTGTTTATGCTGTAAATTCACAAAGTTAATAATGAAAAATGAGAATGGAGGACTCCAAATGATGATGATTCTATTTGCACTGGGTTTGGGCCCAGTGTTTGTGGAACACTTTTCTCTATGCATACAAGTTAGGCAGCTTTATGGGAATTCATACTACTCACCTCACCTAATGGTAGGAACAGGGCTCTCCCTCCAGCATGATGAGTTACTCACTTGGCCTTATCCTTTCATACATCCATGGCTGCTGTTGCCCAACAGGTTATATTGCAGAATTGCTTTTCTCCTCCTTTATGGTTGGGGTCTCCTGGTGATCACTTAACTCAAATATGGAACCCTTCCCTGCTTCCCTCAATCAGAACAAATCTCTTCTTTGCATTCCTAGAGCTCTTATTTTATGCCCCCTCCTTTTAAAAAACTGAGCTATACTTCACATTTATACAGCACATAAAATTGACCATTTTAAAGTGGTTTTTACAATTGAGTGGTTTTTTTAGTATATTCATTCACAAGGTTGTGCAACCATCACTGATTCCAGAACATCTTCCCCAAAGGACTCCTGTAGCCATTAGCAGTCACTCTCCATTCCTCCCTCCCCCAGTCCCTGGCAGCCACTAATCTACTTTCTGTCTTACATGAATTTGCCTATTCTGGATAGTCCACGTAAGTGGAATCATACAGTATGTGGCCTGTTTGTGCCTGGGCTTCTTTCTTCATCCGTGTTGTAGTATGTGTCAGTACTTCATTTTGTTTTATGGCCAAATGATAGTTCATTATGTGGCTATACCACATTTTATTTATCCATTCATTAGTTGATAGACTTTGGGGTTGATTGTTCTTTTTGGCTATTATAAATAATGCTGTAATGAAGATTTGTGTACAAGTTTTTGTGTGAACATATGTTTTCATTTCTCTTAGTATATATACCTACGATTGGAATTGCTGGATCATTGGGTCACTCTTTGATTAACTTTTGAGGAACAGCTAGACTGATTTCCAAAGTAGCGGCACCGTTTGACATTCTAACCTGCTCAGTGTGACAGTTCTATTTCCTCCACATCCGATGCTTGTTATCGTGTATCTTCTTGAGTATAGGCATCTTAATGGATGTGAAGTGGTATTTCATTGTGATTTTGATTTGCGTTTCTCCACTGACTCCTTACGTTGAGCATCTTTTCTTATTGGTACTTATTGGCCATGTGCCACATTTGCTAATACTTAGAATACTGTTCTGTGATTCTTAGTTTGTCTCTTATTTATTTGAGCAGACCTCATGCTTTATCTTCATAATGACCTTAATGCCAGCACAGTGCCTGGTACATTATTGAGTTGTCTGCGTAACTGCTGCATTAATTAAATTGATAATTTAAGGAGGAAAATACCATCCTGGTATAATGAAATTGATGGCTTTGGAAACCTTTGGTTTAAGGTATTAACCTCCTCCCACCCTCCCCATCCCTACTAGAAGCCTTTTATTCTAAGATTTTTGGATGACACTTTTTATCTTTACTAAATCTATACACTTCCCAGACATTCTAAATGCAGAAGACAGAATAAGTCAATCTTCTTTTTTTTTTTTTTTTTTTGAGACAGAGTCTCACTGTGTTGCCCGGGCTAGAGTGCCGTGGTGTCATCCTAGCTCACAGCAACCTCAGACTCCTGGGCTCAAGCGATCCTTCTGCCTCAGCCTCCTGAGTAGCTGGGACTACAGGCATGCGCCACCATGCCCGGCTAATTTTTTCTATATATTTTTAGTTGTCTGATTAATTTCTTTCTATTTTAGTAGAGACAGGGTCTCGTTCTTGCTCAGGCTGGTTTCGAACTCCTGAGCTCAAACAATCCGCCCGCCTCGGCCTCCCCAGAGTGCTAGGATTACAGGCGTGAGCCACCGCGCCCGGCCAAGTCAATCTTCTTTTGATGACAAGAGTCATCATTGTTCATATCACTTCTCTGCACTCCTATAGTAAGACCTGTAGGGCTTAGTGGGTTTTGTAAGACTGTTTACTTTTCCAAATATTTGTAAGCCAATGTGCTTTAAAATACTCCAGTTGAAAAAGGAAGTATCTTTTTTAAGTAATACCTGATTGTTTTTAGAAATTAAATAAACTGAGAAAGCGAAAAGTATCATATCCCACCCCACCCCCAAATCCATATACACATTCATTCATATATAAAATTCTTTCAGAGATAGTCATTTTAATATTTTGTTATATATCTTCCCTTCTAGACCTTTTATTCATTTATATACACTTTCAAAACCACAAAAAGTCCAAGGTTATATGTACATATGGAATATTTTTGAACATTATCATATAAAGAAGAAAAAGGCTTCCTCTAACTTATGATCACTAGAGTGTCCTTTCTGTAGAGGCAACTGCTGTTACCAAGTTTCAAGTGTGTCTTCCAGGGGCACTTGGATCCAGAGACACAAGCATGTAACACCTTTAAACATATGTATTGTCTGGACCAATGCTTGTATATTTTACATGCTATTTTCTAAGTACCTTTTTTTCTCTTCGCACCGTATATGAATAATTTTTCATGTCACTATATAAATAGTTGATTATTTAGCCAGTGTGTACTTTTAAGTAGCTGTCATGTACCAAAATGGAGTTTACATTGGCAAATCATCCTGGTTATCCTTTTTTAAGGACTTTCTAGTATTTCAGTGTATTGGATATGCCATAATTTATCCTCTACTGATAGAAAATTAGATTGTTTCCGGCTTTATCCTATTATAAGCAACCCTGTTTTGAACACTCCTACAATGCATCTTTCCCATTTCGTTAGGAAAAAAGTCCAAGAATTGAACTTTGATTAATTTGCTCTCCAGAAACATTGTGCCAATTTACATTCACACAAGTTATACTATTAATTTGTATAGCATTTGAGAGAGCCTGTCCCACCCTCTCCTACAGTCTTAGCCAGGCTGAGAGGACAGAAATAATTTTATTGATGTTTTATGTACTTCTCTTCTTACTTGTGAGAATGAGCACCATCTCCTGTTTAGTGGCCACTGAATCTCCATGTTGCTAAATCATGTGTTCCCTTACTCATTCTTCTCTGCTTTGACATCAACCATCCTTGATTTCTCACCACAACTTTTTCTTGGTTCCACAGTCACACACTCTTGCTTTCTCTGGACCTACCTCCTCATCCTTTGTTACACCTCACCGTGCCTTACTGCCTCAGACTGGGTGATTACCTTGTCCCTGTCTTCCTTCGGTCATCAAATACATCTGGATGGCAGTGATTCCCAAATTCATGTCTCCAGACCCATGCCTAACACACCTTGATATCTTCACTTGGTTGTCTAATGGGCAGATCCATGTGAACACTGCCCAAGTATGCTTGAATTTTACCCCCATCCCCTCAAACCCCAAAACAACAACATTCTGCTCCTTCTCCAGGGATTTCCATCTTCTTCAAGCCACAAACGTAAGTATATTCTTGATTCTTTTCTCTTGTTCACATTCTGTATCCCTGTAGCTGAGACCTTGCTTACATTCTGGTTTGTCCTCCTGGGCTTAGTCATGTTTTTCCTGCCTTTGAACTTCTGTATCATTTGCATTGCTCTGTGCATCCTGTTCTGTGCTTAGCCAGCTCCTCAGAGACGTCTTCCCTGTCCACCCCAGTCCAGTGGGGGGCTCCCTCGTTACTCTATCATGTCACTTATGTTCTTCACACAACTTGTCATTCTCTGAGATTATCTTGTGTATTTGTTCATCTATCTCAGGCCTTTGAAAATTTAGTTACTGTAGCAGCACGGATCTTGGTTTTTGGTTCACTGCCATATCTTCACTATCTAGAGCAGTGGTGTACAGTAGTTATTCAGTAAAATAATTTTTATTTGTGCAGATTCCTCAGTAATATTCTATGCATTTTACTATTCAATTTCTTTCTTACTGACTTATAAGAGCTCTTTCTAGATCAAGGCTATTCACTCTTACTGTCTTGTAAGTCAGTCTGGTTTATCATTTGTCTTCAAATCTTGTTCATAATGTTTTGTTATATAGACAATAGGAATCATCGGTCTTTCCCTTTATTGCTTCTAAGTTTTGTTACTTTTGAAAATGTCTGATTTATACTTTTTTCTGGTCTGTATGTCTTTCATTTGTCACCATACCTGCTGTTTCTCTGTTAGTATTGTTTTAAAAAAAGAAGTAAAATGAATTTTACTTAAGGCATAAGTAGTTACCCATGGTTAAAATATTGGTACATGAACTCTGTCATCTGTAAACAAGATGTCAAATAGCCAAATGCTGCTTAAGTGTGATGTTGGAGAAGCTGGCATCTCCTTTACCAGTGCTGCTGCTTCCATCGATGATGTGGGAGGGCAGTGAGAAATTCTCTACTTGTTTGATCTGTCTTTTGGACTCAACTAGAATTGCTTTAGTTTTTAATCTTTTTATCCGAACTGGAGATTCTTATAATTTGTCATCTTATTCATTGCAGCGGTTGTAGAACAGGAAATGAAAAAGGACTGGCTTTTTGCCCCTCATTATCGATACTATGTGCGAGAAATGAGAATTCATGCATACAGCCAGCTGCTGGAATCATACAGGTCATTAACCCTCGGCTATATGGCAGAAGCATTTGGTGTTGGTGTGGAATTCATTGATCAGTAAGTTCAAATAACACCATGTTAATTTTTGTTTTAAAGTTGCCTTTTAGTATGTGAAATATACATTTTTTACTTGTGTGCAATGGCTTTCTCAATTTTAAGAAGAAAAAAAACCAAGAATTTTTTTCTAAATATTCTCAAAACAATTATATCTGTCACCTCTGCCTTCCTCATGTTCTGCATCTTCCATTAACAGATGTGAAAGCTGAGTTGTAATGAGGTTAAGTGATCTGTTAAAGGTCATTAGACCAGTTATCCAAAGTAGTCTTCTTATGGCATAATGTTTAGAGGCAAAAAAACCAAAAACAACAAAAAAAAAACCCTTCTTTTTGGACCACACTGCAGCTACGGTAACGATTTGGATCTTTTGTATTTTACAATTGGTCGTATTGCCTCTGATAGTTACTTCCAACTTTTAGGTTGCTGCTGCAATTCCGTTCAAATTGGGTGTTAAATATTGGACATTTTAGCACTTAAATCAGTAAGTAATTCCACAAATAGTTAACTATATGTTTGGTATTAAGTCCCCATCTTCAGGGCCTTTCATTGCTGTAGTAGGAGATGGCAAGTAGACATAAAAGGTAATTTCAAATAGAAATGAGTCTTTAGGAAAATGCTATAGTGCCATGGAGAGACTACTAGATACGGCACCTCTGAGGAGAAGAGGTCGACTCTGAGATTTGAATTGGGAGGAGTCAGACATAAGGAGTCCTCTAAATGCAAAAGAGGGAGTAGAAAATGCTAAGGCTTTGAGTTAGGAACAAGCTTAGATGTTGCAGGAATACAAAATGTCAGTGTGGCTACAGAATAGCCAATTGTGAACATTGAGGTTGGAGAGTTGGGCTTGTTTAGGGCCTTGTAGGACACAGTATGGAGCTGGGGTTTTAATCTAGGTGCTGTGGGAAGCCATGGGAGGGACAAGGTCTCATTTATACAGAGCAGGTTGGCAGAGAGACCAAGGTAGTTCGGGGAGGAGATGTTACAGCAGCCTGGACTAGGGTGGTGGGAATAGAGCTGGGGAAAAGAGACATTCACAATATGTAATGTCCATGTGGAATCCAGATCAGTGGTTCCCAAATTTAGGTCTTTTAAATCTTGATGATGTAGTTTTCAGTGGTCTACGGTGAAAACAAGTGATGGCTATATAGCAATTTTAAATGAAGCTGCAATTCATTTAAATAAGACCATTCTCTTTTTAGTGGTTTTGTTTTTTTCTAACATTTTATTATGAAAAATTTCAAACAAGCAGAAGGTTCTAAAGAATTGTATAGTAAATTTTACCATTTTATTATATTTGCTTTTCACATATCTATCCATCTTATTTTTTAGCCACTTCACAGCAAGTTTCAGACACCAACACACAAATATAGAAGTTTTGTTTCATTTTTCGGATGGGGGCTGGACATTATTTCATGAGTCAGTAGCGTGTGAAACAGGGCTTGGCCTGGCTTCTTGTTCTTAATTGTGATGGGGAGGTGATAAAGCCATTGTGAGGTTCAAATGAAATTATGGATGAGGAGACGCAGAAAGTAGACACACCGCAGTATTATTTAAGCCCTCTTGATGACAAGTGAATTCAAGGCGGCTGGTACATTTCAGGTGGTGGTTGAATTGTTTGGTTTTTTTTCCTTCATGTTCTAAGACTAGCTCTAGAGGCAAAGGTTGTACCATTGAGCTCGAGTTGTTACCTAGAAAGAGCCTGTCCTACATTTCTGTGAAACCTAGGAATTTCAAGTCTAGGGTTTTATGGATTCTGCCCCCTGCCCTCCCAAACTTAATTTTAGGTAAAATCCCCTTTTTAAAAGTGGGCTACACAATAATTCTCTATCATTCTTCCCTCCCAGTTCCTTAGCTCCTTAGACTCAATAAGATAGTGTTGGAGAGGGAAGAGGCCATTATTTCAGTAAACACTACTGCTGTTGACATGTTTACATAACCGTGGGCTGTGTTTCATAATTTTGGTCTTTTGTTTGAAATAATTTATTAGTTTTATCAGTTTTTTCCCCTAATAAATCTGATTTTCCTTCTTAATGTTTTTCTCTGAGCATTTCTGTAGCTCTAAAGACTTGATATGAGTGGTTCCATTGTTTGCCACCCAGATTCCATCTGAATATGAGCTTCCAGCGTCATGTTTATTCTGGTGGATGACTGAAATCCGGCAGTGCACCAGGGACGATCCCAACTACTGTAATGTCATAGCCTTGGCTTGAAGGGAAACTAAATATTACCTTGAAGGACTATTTCAGTGCAGTGTGTATTTTTCTAAGATTTCTCTATAAGGCTAATGCTTTTTTTTTCCTCCTCTAAATTAGGGAACTCTCCAGATTTATTGCTGCTGGGAGACTACACTGCAAAATAGATAAAGTGAATGAAATAGTAGAAACCAACAGGTATTTTTATTTTGTGTATGATTTGCTATACTGCTCAGAATAAGGGGCGTTCTTAAGTGCCTCCCTTTAGAAGTAGGTCGGTCAACTATTGTCATGGAGTAATGTGACTGGTTAAATAATTTATTTTTTTTCTTGACTTTATTTACAGACCTGATAGCAAGAACTGGCAGTACCAAGAAACTATCAAGAAAGGAGATCTGCTACTAAACAGAGTTCAGAAACTTTCCAGAGTAATTAATATGTAAAGCCATATAACAAAGGATTTCCTTTAGAGATAATTATTTTAGAGATAATTATTTGGAATTTTTATGGCTTACTTCACTATGTGCCCAGTTCAGCTGTATAAAATAAATACTGCATTATTGTTTCTCTCAATTTGCTTTTTTAAAAACATATATGCCTTTTTGATGAGGTCCAGTAATGTTAAAATAATGTCACTTGAATTATTCGTTAATGAAAAATATTTTATGTCATTTGAGCATCTCTGGTTTGCGATATGATGATTACACAGAGACTTTAGTACCTGAGTTCAGAGCCTGATTCACAGGGATAATAACACAAGCCCATTATCTCTTACCTTTAAGCCTCCTGATTTTAGAAAGAAGAGTACACAATTAAACAGTTACCCACTTGGTATACAGAAGATACATAACACATAAAAGAAATAAGTAACCATATAAGAGGAAATTGCCTATTTTTAGGAGGCTGGAATAATCTGGATTCCAGAATCTACCAGGCCCAATCTTACTAAACATGGATTTTTAAAAACCCTATATAAATTAGCACGTTGAATCTTTTTTCCAAAAACAAGACCGTAATAATAGCAGTGAGGAAAACAATGTTCCTTGTCTCTCAATTATAAACTTGGTGAGTTAGAGATAAGTGCTATGAAAGGGGACAGAGTGAAATCAAGTGTGAAGGCCTCTCTGGTAAGGTGACATTTAGGTAAAAAGGAGGGAGAGACCATGCAAATATCTAGAACATAGAAAGACATGGAAAGTGAAGTTTTAAGCAGAGGAATGACCTGATTTGACTTACCTTTTAAGTGTCACTATGGCATTCAGCTGGAGGGGACACCAGATGATGTTGGCATGAATGGTAGAAGCAGCTGGATTTGCTAAAAGATTCAAGTGGGGGAGGGGTGAGAAAGTTAGTGGAGGCAGATCCCAGACTTTTTGACTTAAATATAAAAGATGGCTGGTGACCTTGAGCAGTTTTGGTAAGCAAGTTAAAGAGAATGGGAAATGGCATTTTATTGTTAAAGGATGGGGAACAAAAGAATAATTTTGGTATTTTTTTAAGAGCATTTGCTGATGGGAATGATCCATTAACATGTTAGAGGGAAAACACATGATCTCATTTGAAAATAATCTGTTACAATTCAACATCTCTTCATGATAAATAACTCTTCAGTAAACTGAATAATAAAACATTGGGAAATCAAAGCCCTATTGCCAACAAGATATTTGATGGCAAGATATTGTAAGCATTACCTTAGAAGTCAAGGCAGTAACTATCATCAGTATTACACTGGAAGAAGGACAGTTGCTTATGTGCCAAGGAAAGCAATGTGGGCAGAGCTCTGTGCTTTGAAAGCAGTTTCCTGTAGGCACCCTATGCTGGATGGGAGGCTTTAAAAATGCTAAACATGCCCAGCAGGGGTGGGGAACCTGTGGCCTTGGGGCCACATGTGGCCTTCTGGATCCTTGAGTGTGCCCTTTTGACTGAATCCAAATTTTACTGAACAAATCCTTTTAAAGCATTTGAGAATAGCCACCTACGGATTTCTAAAAATGCTTATGTATAACACCTTGTATCACTATAATTTCTTGAAGAAAAACAGCTTTTTAAAAATTTTGGTTTTCCACAGAAAACCAAAGCTAGTCAGGAATGCAAAGCAGGCTTCTGGATGCTACAAAGTTGCAAATTGGTCATCCACAGGTTGCAAGTGGACCCCCCCACAAGTATGTTTTCAAGAAAAAAAATACATAGTCACCATGGAAAAGTTGAGAGAGAATTGTAACTAGCTTCTCTGGAAAAAGGAATAGATGAGGCTACGTTCAGACTCACACTCCATCAAGCTAAGTGGCAAGCATGTGTTGTCCTCCAGTGTGCCCTCGTTCACCAGCCTGTGGCATGAATGTGCACTACCTGTCTGCCTGGCTCCTGCTGGCATTTGTGTTATCCCTGCACTACCCCCCATGCTGTACATGTGAGCTTGATGGTCAACAGCCTCCTGTGTCTCCAGCTAGGAGAATCTATCCGAAGAATTCTTAACCTTCATCCTACCTCTGGTGTCTTCTGTTTATATAGGTTGTTTTCTTCAAAATCTTAATTTTCTGGTTTCAGTCAAGAAGGGTACTTTACAACATAAATATAAGATTATTATCAAATGATAATAGTTTTATTTGCTAAGTGACAGAGCTAAAACAATTATATTTTGTTCCTTTTTAATATTGGTGCATGTTTTCTTTTGAAGTTGGAAACGTAATCTTATTTTTACCAACTACTCTTGTTTTTATCGACCCTGGTCTTACTCATAGGACACTAGTGAAACTGCCCTTTACCAATCAACAAAGGGGTGCAAGGCGAGAACTGTGGTAAGGGCCCAAAACTCTGCGAGGGCCTAGGCCTTAGCTAAAAATAATGACAATAATCCAGCCACTGTCCCCTCATTTGCTTGATGAAAATCAGTCACTGTCCCGTTTACTCATCTATACTTGCTACTCTGGAGTCACATAGCTGGTGGTCATAAAGATTCTTATCTTGCTCTGTAGATAACATCACCTTTCGGAAACCTAAAGGTAGTTTCTAAGATATCTTTCAGGCCCGCATTCCAGTGGATTGACTGACCGACCCAGACCAGTGGCCCATCCCAAGACACTGACTCAACTGGAATTGTGACCCCAACCCAGGAACTGACTGAACACAAGAAGAAAATGATTTCTACACCTCTATAATTTTGCCCCAAACCTAACCAATTCTCAGGGAGGCAGACTGGACAAATTCCTCTTACCTCCCTGCTTAGCACTTAGCGGAATTAAACCCTTTCTCCATTGCAACCCTGACGGCCTCAGTGTATTGGCTCTTCTCTGTGCAGCCGGCAATATAACCCAGTTAGGTGACAACATTAGTATGAAATGGAATCACCAAGATGAACTATCTGTTGTGATTATTTTTTAAAGCAAAGTTTCTCTTACTCCAATAAAATCTGATTATATATCAAGTGTATCTATCCAGTAAGAGGTAAATATTTAAAAGCTATATAAAACTATGGTAATCTATTTCTTGTATTAGAAATAAAAGCTTTAGATCAGTTTTTAACTTACTGTCTTTCATGAATAGAAACAGTCTAGCTGGGTGTGGTGGTTTGTGCCTGTAGTCCCAGCTGCTTGGGAGTCTGAGGTGAGCAGATCTTGAGGCCAGGAGTTTGAGACCAGGCTGGGCAATATGGTGAGATCCTCTCTCTGAAAAAAAAAAAAAATTTTTTTAATGAAAAAAATAAATTACCTGGGTATGGTGACACATGCCTATAGTCCCAGCTACTTGGGACGCTGAGGTGGGAGGATCCCTTGAACCTAGGAGTTCAAGGCTGCAGTGAGCTATGATTGTGCCACTGTACTCCAGTCTGGACAACAGTGAGACCAAGGGAAAAGGGAAAGCCTAAAAAACATTTTTGTTAAGTACCTGTATCCAAGTTTTACCTGGCCTAAATGGCTAAAAGAATGCCTACAGTTTGATCACTGAGCACGCATACTGTAATACGCTTAGGATTTTATGACTGAACGCATTTAGTCCTTAGTAACCTGACCAAGCATTAACTGATCAATAGAAGGTGCTGATCATTAGCAAATAATCTGTATAGTTTCATATTCTGAATCTTTGGTGCTGTTAATTTACTGTTTTTAAAAGGATGAACAGCTGACACTTGAAATATTATGATTATGGGGAAGAAGGGAGGAAGGGTCTCTGATGATCCCTTGCCTTACAAGGCTACATGAACTTGCAGTTGCTAGTAACAAACCTCGTACCTCCACAACGGCAATGGGGGAGTGAGGTAAAATCCCTATCTAGAAAACATGAAAAGCACTAATAATCACTAGTTCTGGTTTCAAAGCCACAGAGCCACCAATTTGCCTGATGCTTGTATTTCTGAAGACGTACAAAAGATACGAAGAATTTCTAGCAGTGTGGTCTAGGCCATTTTAGCCCTGGGGTACATGGTCAAAGGGGAAATCTAACCTCTTTTCTTCTAAGAAATCTCTGGTAGTGACTTAATTTTCCCTGTACAGGTTAGGTTTAAGAAATAAAAGGGACAATATGCCAAAAAATGATTAGCCTTCAATCCAGTCAATATATACCAGCTTTCCATCCTGATACTCCTTTGCAGATGTGACCATTTAGTTAAGACTGCCAGTAGGTGGCACCCTGACAACTTTACCAACCCTCCGTTTTCAGAGGTTACCAGAGACCTCTTTTCTAAAATACTGTGTATATGTAATTAGTACAGTATCAGTGTGGGTAAACTATACTTGGTTTTTGAGGACTCTGCTTTTCTTGAAACCCTCTGGGTTAAAAGCTGTTCATTCATAGAGTCCCACGGTTTCCTAGTCCCTTGCTCTCCTCCTTGGCCACCGTGTTTCCACTCAGTCACAATGTCTTCTCTCCGAAGCTGCTACCACCCAGCAACACCAACCAACTCATTGTGCTCATTGTCCTCAGTCACAGACCTCCAGGCTACTCCTCCCCACTCCATGCAGTTCATTCCAGATCTGAGTAGCTGGCTCAGTCTTCCTCTCACCATAACTATGCTCTGAAATGCACAACTTATGCAATACCCTATACAATACCATGGCTTCACAGTTTCTCACCCTTAATTCCAGCGCTCTTTTCTTCCACACCACTTCCAGCCACTGCCATTATCTTATCTAGGAATCACAAGCATCTCTGAACAGCTCCACTTTTGAAAATGACGCCTGGAATTTCCATTCTTCTACTCTCTGGCCTAGTCCTAAAAGTGTGATGCCACTCTGATCACTCTGGTCCCTGGATTTTGCCTTGTATGTTAGCCCTTCATTGTTATTGGCCATATTGAATTGAACATGGAGTTTGCTCTGTGACCTTGAACAAATCACCTAGCTGTCTAATAACAAAGCTACCTGGAAGGAGGATCGTAAGACTTAAGAAGGTAATTCTAATCGAACCAATGTCTTTAAGAGTGCCTGCACAGATCCTACCCAGCAGCTCCCAGTTCTCTTTGTTGAATACCCAATGCAGACCATCATCAACCACTTAGCCACGTCTACACTCATACTCAACCCCTTGGCAATCTCCCTGACAGTTCTTATAAAACTTCTTAACTTTTCCACCCAACC